CTGCTAAAATATGAAATTAATTGGTCCACGCCGCAACGGGTCCAAAATCTCGCTCGCAATATAATGGGCACCGCGCGTGGACCCGAGAAGTCTCGCACTTTTCGCAAACCGCTTTCACAGTAAAACCGCTTCGCTAAAAAACCGCTTTGTTCAACCGCTTATTGTACACGACCGCTTGCTCACTCGGACTTTTCTCTATTCCGGCATTATTTCAGTGTCTGAAAATAATTATATATATTTTTGTGTAAAACTTTATTATTTAACACTAAAAATTAATCTACTAATTTAGGCAAAGATTACTGCTACGGCAAAGGTGTACTATGCAAATAAAATTTAAGAAAATAAACTTAAACTTTAATCGTTAATATTCATGTCTATAATATCATAACATGTACAATTTCGTGCTCGCATACGTTTCGTCCTATTCCAGGACCTTCTCAATGCTGATAGCGAAGTTTATAAAAAACAAATTACATAAAAAAGTTCAAATCGGTCGCTCGCAATAGATTATACATAATAAAGGTCAGAGTACAAAAAAAGGATGACAACGTCGAACGCAAAAAAGAGAGAATTTATAAGTCGTTACATTTTAAAATTAATGTTGAGAGACAAACGAATGTAATGAATAGATTTAAATTAAGAATTCGAAAAAGGGACGGTGCGGCTGTCTACGTGCATGCACGTTGAATATGTTACTCACCTTCCAAGAAACACAGGGATCGCAACTGTGTGAAAAGCGGTGCAAAAAGCTGTGGCAAACAAGCATAGGGCAGAGATGCTGCATACCCATTAAGCCTTGCACGGCATATAAAATCCATCAAAAATTTTTTTAAAAGAAAGCGCAGAATCTGAAAAATTAAGCTGAGCAGAGCAACACATTCACATGCAAACATGTATTAGCCAAAGCAAATAAGTACAAAAAATCATACAGAAAAAGAATCTTTTAAAAAGACATAAAATTGAAATGTTAAGTTATAACATACTTGATAATCGAATAGTCTATTATAAAAAAGTCAAAAAATTCTGTACGCAGAGAAATATGTAGTAAGTAAAGCTAAATTGAAAATATAGTTAATCAGAGCTTTTTTAATATTGATGAAGGAAAATTATTGAAACGTTGAGAATAAGTGAATATTTGTCTGTTAAAAGATAGGCAAATGAAGGAAATAAATATCGTAATATCACAACAAGTAAGCAAAGACAAGATTAATAGGGAATATTTGGAGAAGCTCAAAGAAAATACATACAGGTGTTCAAAAGCCGTCAAATAATAATGTTAATGTAAATGGTAGCACTTAAAATCAATCAAAATTTCTGAGACGTAGAAACAGCGTGTGTATCATGCGGGATCTCGCTGCGTACTGAAATTACGAGTTATCGAAATGTACGGCATACCGAAGGCAGGGAGGAAGGGGGGGCCGGCAAAAGAAATACAGGAGCGGATAAATAGATATAATGGAAAACAAGAATAGCATGCTCAGGGCAGCAGCTCCGATTATAATGATTTTATAATCGGGATATAAATCTTATCAAATTTTTCGGTGTCTTTATGCACATTCAAGCTGTTGTCTTGTCTTATGATGTGAATCATTTCAGAAACTGACCTTCTCATAAAGGAAGATTCACGATCCAGTATAATCACCTCATTCCAATCAAACTCATGTCCTTCCAGTCTGTGGAGGGAAACTACTGATAACTGTTCGGAAGAACCATTAATATTAGACCGATGTTCTTTCATACGAGTCTTTAATTGTCTACCGGTCTGTCCAACGTAGGATGCCGTGCAGTCACAACAAGGGACCTTATAGATCACATTGGAAAGATTCTCCCTTGGAAGTTGGTCTTTATGTGCTTTAATAAAGCGGTTCAATTTATTGGGAACAGCGTAGGCGAGAGACTTATTTAAATTCTTCGCAACATCTTTAAAGTGCTCAGAGACTCCCTTAATATACGGAATGACGAAAAACGATTTAGAGGTGTCAGCGGTTGGAGGAAGAGGAGGAGCAAGGTTGTTATGGATAAGCGATTTAATTCTGTTAATGATGGTAGAAAAAATGAAATTGATGGGATAACCGTTATCAAGTAGCAAATCAATTATCAGCTTAAAATTTTTTTCATGAAAACGTGGGTTAGACAGTTTAAAGATTTTGTCCGTAAGGCCAATTATGACGCCTTTTTTATGAGCTTGAGGATGCTGCGAGAAAAAATTCAAAAATCTCCCAGAGAAAGTAGGTTTCATATACCAATCAAACTCAATGTGATTGTCTTCAATAATGATGGTGACATCTAAAAAATTGAGACGGTCATTCTCGGGGATTTCTATAGTGAATTTAAGTCTCTGATGGAAGGAGTTAAAAACTTTCATGATAAGATCAAAGGAGGAAGAGGGAGCAATCAAGGCAATGTCGTCCACATATCTAAAGTAAAAAGGAAGATGAAAAGGTAATTGTGACCTGGCTTTTTCCTCAAGATCTTGTAAGACTAGATCTGCACAAACGGGGGAGAGGGGGGAACCCATAGGAGTCCCAAAAATTTGCTTATATATCTTCCCGTTGAATTTGAAAAAAGTAGAATTCAGTACCAGCTTAAGGCCAATAGAGAATTCTAAGAGCGGGATCTTGATTTTGTTCTCCAGATATTGCCAACGTTTTGTCACACTGTCAACAATTAAGTCTGTAGGCACATTTGTGAACAATGAAACGACATCTAATGAAGCTAATTTAAGACGGTCATCGACGTGGAAATAATTAATTTTATCGACAAGCTCATAACTATTGGCAATATGACTATTAGAAAGAGGAAGGTTTTCATGAAGGCAATTATGTAGGAAAGTGGCAAACCTATGGAGAGGACTATTTATGGACGACACTATGATTCTTAACGGGAAGCCGGATTTATGGATCTTCGGTAAACCATATGCTCTAGGTAGCACCCCGTCACTGGTGTAAAGCGAACGTTTCGTTAGAGCTGAGATGTAATTATTTCGTTGCCAACGTTTCAGAATATCATTGAGCTCTCTACATATTTTTGACGTGGGATCTTTATTAATGACAATATAAGTATCCGTATCATTCAGTAACTCATTCATTTTCGAAACGTATACACTCTTGTCAAGCGCCACGCTAGCATTGCCCTTGTCAGCTCTTGTTATAATTATGTCTGGATGATCAGCCAAGAAAGTTTTACATGTGTTGTTCAATCTTAACAACGACTCATCAATATTAGATAAAGATTTCGAATTGTCTTTTAAATGATTCTCCAAACACTGAGCAGTATGATTTCTTATCTGTTGAGAAATGTCACAATCAAGCCTCCCGATGCCGCACTCAATGTAATTTAATAAAATCAAAAAATCAACCGGGGAGAAGATTTAGATGCTGGTAAGCTGAATTTTTCTCCCAATTGCAGAAGGCACTGTACTTCATGAGGAATGTCAATGGAAGACAAATTGATGAACCACTTCTTGTTGACATTGTTGAGTACATGGGGGGAGGAATTAAAGTGAGGAGGGTTAGGAGAAGGTTTAATCAAAATTTTGTGAGGGGAAGCCAGAGGGACAGCGGTAGTAGAAAATTCATAATCTTTTTTATGTCTCGTGCCGGTGGGAGTAGTTGATTGTGCTCTGAAATTGTTTCTGTAATTATTAGTGTTGGAGTCAGTGGCAAGACTGTAGAAATATGAGAAAGAAAGAGCAGAGGTCTTAGCCTCGTGTTTCTTGGTGATCATCCAGCTGAGCTTCCTGTGTAATCTACGTCTCTCATTGCAAGCAATAAATTGAAAAAACTTTGATTGTCTGTCAAGATAATTGTCAAGAAAACATGAAGGAATACAATTGAACGCTGCTTTTGAGAGTCGCAACACATAATGGCGTAGATAGTATAATGATCTAAACGCATCCGCAATCTCTAAATTCAAAATGTGCCAAGCTGTTTTAAATCTGATAGTGTTAAAATTGTGTATTGATCTATTATTGTAGAATCTGATTCTATAATTGAACTTGTGCAAGAGATGTGGTGGAAGCACCTTAAATTCTTTACATTTTCTCAAAAAGTTAATTCTCTCTTTGATTTTAATAATGCGTATGTGATTGCGCGACCAATCTCTAATGATATTTCTAGGGGTAACTCTAAACAATGAAATAATAAGCTTAAAAAAACCATGTGAACATGAACGCATCTTATGCCGGCGTAATATTAATAAAATTCTTATGAGAGTAGCAGGTATTAAGTAACACTAAAAATTAATCTACTAATTTAGGCAAAGATTACTGCTACGGCAAAGGTGTACTATGCAAATAAAATTTAAGAAAATAAACTTAAACTTTAATCGTTAATATTCATGTCTATAATATCATAACATGTACAATTTCGTGCTCGCATACGTTTCGTCCTATTCCAGGACCTTCTCAATGCTGATAGCGAAGTTTATAAAAAACAAATTACATAAAAAAGTTCAAATCGGTCGCAATAGATTATACATAATAAAGGTCAGAGTACAAAAAAAGGATGACAACGTCGAACGCAAAAAAGAGAGAATTTATAAGTCGTTACATTTTAAAATTAATGTTGAGAGACAAACGAATGTAATGAATAGATTTAAATTAAGAATTCGAAAAAGGGACGGTGCGGCTGTCTACGTGCTAAATTTATTATTGAATTGTGTGGCGTTTAAATAAAATTATATAAAAATTACAAAAATATACGTGTCGTGTCTTATCCTTGCGTTCAATTGTGCGTTGTGTGTGGTGTCCTGTCACGAAATTCTTTGGGACGCGCTTTCCGCATAAACTCATTCATTCGCGAACATTTTCTGGTCCTTCGAGCCGGAGTTATTATCATCCGCATCTGCAGTTCGTGGGTGAAATTCGCGTGTGAAATCCAGTGCGCGAACCTGTGCAGAAAGACAATCACAATGAGTGCATAGTCACAATGAAGGCATAGTTAGAAGCGCAGAACGACATCCACGGGCGAATGTCCCGCTCCGTGGACAATCTACGCAAAATGGGCATCTCCAGCATCACAGCTGAAGCAGTCCAAGTTCGCCTTCGCATCCTCGATACTCTGAGGACCAAGTTTGAGGCTCATCACGATCTCATAAGGACAACGCTGAAAGACAAATATCTCGAGAGTGAGTACGCAAAGGCAGATTTTATTGATATCGCGGAATCAACTTATGTATCTCAGCGGAGCATGCTTGTCGAGTACGCGAACAATCTCAAAGGCGAGTCGTCCACCACGCCGAAAGTTAAGACTCACCAAGAACAGACGCTCAAAACCTCGCTGCCGCGGATCAAACTTCAGCCATTCTCTGGCGCATACGGAGATTGGCCCGCGTTTCGCGATATCTTTTTGTCCATCATCGGGAACAATTCGTCCATCTCCAACGTGGAAAAGCTCCACTATCTCCGCACTAGCTTGCAGGGTCCTGCGGAAAAATTAATAAGATCATTGCCAATCGTTGGGGGTAATTACGAGCGGGCGTGGTCCATTCTAAGCTCTCATTACGAGAACAAGTGAGAGCTCATTCGCGCCAACTTCGCCGCGTACACCGCCGTGCCGAAGATGAAGGCCGCGACCACCGATGAACTGAGTCGAATTCACAATACCGCCACAACCGCTATCAATGCCCAGGAGAGCATTGACAGGCCCATCGACATGCACGGAATGGATTTTTTAATTACCTGCTTGTTGAGCGATTTGACCCGCAAACCAGAATGCAGTGGGAGTCCTCTATCCGCGATTCCGTCGACCCATCGAGTAATGACGTCCTTATGGATTTCATCGCGAAGCAAATCCTGACGCTGAACGCCGTGCACCGTCGCAAAATCCGGAGGAGCTTCCCGGTCCGCGAAGTCGCACTTCGTGAAGCGCGCGTCCGACTCCTCTATTTGCGCCGTCTGCAAGGAAAAACATTCAATTATGCAGTGCGCGACGTTTAAAGCCAAGACCGCGACAGAGCGAAAAAACCTTGTGGAGGCGAACAAGATGTGTTTTAACTGCCACGGCAACCATTTCCTGGCGAAATGTCAGTCGACCAAAACGTGCTTCACCTGCAAAGCCCGGCACCACACGCTACTGCACGACGCGTACTCACAATCCGACGGAGCGAGTGCATTGTCCGCCACACACTTCGCGTCGGACCGCAAGGCGATCCTCCTCGCCACCGCTCGGGTCACCATCAAGGACCACATGGGAAGACCGCACGACGTCCGAGCGCTAATTGACCAAGGATCCGAGGTCTCCCTAGTCGCCGAGGTTCTGGCGCAACGGTTGCGTCTGCCGTGGATCCGCTCCTCGATGAGAATAGCCGGCATTGGAGGAGCATCCGGAGCAACCCGCGGACGGCTGTCGATGACGCTTTCCTCGGCAATCACTGGAGCAGCGCTCTCGGTTCGGTTTCGTATAGCCTTCCGCGCCTCTCAACCTACAAGGGGTCTGTCGTGCGAGCCAGCATTACCTGGCCACACATACGCGGTCTCCCCCTGGCCGATCCACAATACCTTGACCGAGATCCAATCGAGATATTGCTCGGCGCGGATGCCTACTCCGCCATCCTCCAGGATGGGCTCCGCAAGGGACGTAAGGACGAGCCCATCGCGCAAAAGACCTCCCTCGGATGGATCCTATCGGGCGGTCATCGAGCCATGACACAAGCCGGCCATACCGCCCATCAATGCACGGTCGACCGCCAGCTGACTGACTTGGTGCAGCTCTTCTGGGAGCAGGAAATGGAGTCTGCCGCTCCTGTCGCTCTCATCCCAGAGGAGAGAAGATGCGAGGACATCTTCGCCCGCACGCACGCACGCATCAGCACGGGACGCTACATCGCGAGACTTCCCTTCGCCAGTTCTCTGCTCTCTCTCACGGAAACCCGCAGGCCGGCCGAGCGTCTGCTCCACGCTATGGAGCGCCGCTGCAACAAGGACGCTCAATTCGGCAGCCTCTACCACAGCTTCATGCGGGAATACGACGACCTGCAACACATGGAAGTTGTAGATACTTCATCCGACAAATTGAGCACCGCTAAGTGCTACTTACCGCATCATGGAGTGTTGCGAGAGACGAGCACTACCACAAGCTCAGGGTCGTGTTCAACGGGTCTCAGCTCACGCCCCTGGGCACCTCACTCAACGCCAGTCTGCTGACTGGCACCAACCTCCTGCCAGCTCTCGCCGACGTACTCCTTCGTTGGCGCTGGCACCGCTACGTCTTTGTGGCAGACATCGAGAAGATGTACCGCCAAATTCTCATCCATCCGGACGACCGCAATCATCAGCGGATATTTTGGCGGCACCGCGCCGCCGACGACATCCGCGAATACCGCTTACGAACGGTCACGTATGGCTTGGCGTGCGCGCCATTCCTCGCCATACGGACCTTACACCAGCTCGCCGTCAACGATTTCTGCGAGGAGCTGTCGCGCTGTGCCGCGATACTTACGTGGAAGACATCGTGACCGGCGCGAGCACTCTCTCGGAAGCCACCTCAGCACAACGGGAGCTCCGCAGCCTCTGCATGGTGGGCAGGTTTCCGCTTCGGAAGTGGGCGGCCAACAGCCTCAGCACCCTGGACGGAGTTCCACACGAGCACCGGCTCACCCGCTCACGGGACGCCTCCGCAACGTCATCGTAGGTCAGTGCCGACGCGACGGCCGCGAGCAGGGATATCGTCAGCGCGAGCGATAACGCGACGCGCGTCATGGCTCTCGCGAGGTGCTAGCGCGCGGGTCGGGACGGTAGCGAACTATCGGCGCGCGCGTCCTTCGGCGATATATCGTTCTCTAGAACGCGAGAAAGCGTCGTACGTGGGAGAAGGAGAAGGCGAGGGGAGGGGAGGATAGATACGCTCGGACGCGCGAGAAGGATGATCGAGAGAACGAACTTTTTTTTTTAGAAACAAATGATTCGTCATTCGTACGAAAAGAGGAGGGGAGGGAAATACTCTCGGACGCGCTAGAGAGGTGATCGAGAGAACGAACTTCTTTATTCGTATAAAAAATGATTCTTTATTCGTACAAAAATGATTCTTTATTCGTACAAAAAAAATGATTCTTTATTCGTACAAAAAAATTTGCGCAATCTACATATACTTATATAACGTTTAATGTATAATATTCTAATATAACGCTTAATATAACATTTAATATAACGCTTAATATAATATTCTAATATAACGTTTAATATAACGCTTAATATAACGTTTAATATAATGTTTTAATATATAACGCTTAATATAATGTCTAATATTATAATATTCTAATATAATATTTGAGAGAACGTGAGGTCTTCGAGTCCTCCTCCCTGTTTGCTCTCGATAATTGCGCGACTATCGACGATGAATGTAATATATAGCGATTACAATATATGATTATTAAATATATGCGATTAAAATATATGACTATTAAATATATACGATTAAAATATACGACTATTAAATATATACAATTAAAATATATATGATTAAAATATATACGATTAAAATATATGACTATTATATGACTATTAAATATATGACTATTATATATATATGAACGACCTGTAAGAACGACCAAGAACGATCTGTGAGAACGACCTGTGAGAACGACCTAAAAACCTAAGAACGACCTGTGAGAACGACCTGTAAGAACGACTGTAAAGTATCTAAAATAAACGGTCTTACAAAAACATGCGCGTTTAAACTGGAAAAAATTTATTGTAAGAACGACTGTAAGAACGACCCATATGAAACGACCATTTAAAAAAAAGGAGCGGCAAAACAAGACTTATGTGCTCAAACAGACGCGTTCTTCAACTGACATTACTAAAATGTTATTAAGAGTTCATCACTCCGCTACCTGGGAAGCTACTTATGAATAGCCTATAAATTACCTATAAATGGGTCATAAATGGGTTCATTTATAAATGAACCATAAGTGAACCATAAGTGAACCATAAATGAACTATAAATCAACCATAAATGACCTATGAATCAACCATAAATGCCCCTATAAAAGGATTATATGAACATAGAGATGAATATAGAGGATCGTGTAAGAGTGCGCCGACACGTACGTCTCTTCGACAACGAATCCTTCATAGAAATGTGACGCGAAGATAGCCCGATCGGCGAAACGAGCTCAGTTCGCACGAGCGACGATGAGTTTCGACGCGCGCAAGGGGAGGGGGGCGATGCGGGCGGAGATCGGGAGGAAGGGAAGGCGCTGTTCTTCGACGCTGTCCTTCGACATCGAGATTGATGAGACGTCTGAAATATGTAAAGCCGTGTATTAATAATACGTATCGAGATACGCGAAAGGAAAGAACGACGCGTTATACGAGAAGAGATCCGTACCTCGGTTAAAATCCTCCGTCATCCGTGCGGACGGAGCTCGTTTCCTCGAGCGAGTTCGCATCATCGTACCATATCTCCACAGAAGAATCGTCGTCGCAGAAATCTTCGGTTTTAAACGCGCGATCCGAGACGAGCGGCTCCATATCGAATAATCTTCTTAGCCGAAAGATGTCGGCGTAGATATTAGGGGAGCGCCTCTCCCATTGTCTATAGGACGGCCGGTCGCACCATAACGAGTTTAAGAATCGCCGTTGCTTCAGTCTCGCCTGTCGTATCCAATGTCGGCAGCGTATGTTGACGAATCCAGGGATCTCAACCTCATTCTCGAACTATGAAAAAAAAAATGTCACGCGATCAATGTACGTCGTATTTTTCCTCGAAGGAGAGCGAAAGAATAAAGAAGGATGATGAATGAGTACTTACGTTCCACGTTATAGCTATATTGAGGATCGCATCCATGAGATTTCTGATGTACTTTATCTTCCACAAGCACATCCACGGCGTGAACGTGCATTCGCGGAGCATCCTCCGCAATCGCGAAATTTCATCGCTGCTCATCGTCGTTCGCGTGAAAAAAATAACTCCGAGAATGAATGCTGGACACGCTAGGAACACTGGACGCACTGAGAACACTGCGATATCAGACGCACTCAACAACGTGATCGTGAGACTCATTCTGAGGAAAAACGGTCTCTCGGCGTTAATTTATACCTGCGATATTACTATCGCTGGGTCGTTATGATTCCGTTGAACGCTAATGCGATAATCTAATGCGGTATGAAAAAATCGCGCGATATCGCTATCGCTGAGTCGTTATGATTCCATCGAATGCTAATGCTAATGCTATAATCTAAGGCGGTATGAAAAAATCGCGCGACGCGGAAATATAACGAGGTAATTTAATGAGGCGCGATAAATTCTCGATTGCTCCGGAGGAAGTGCCGGAAAATGCATTTAACCGCGTATGCGCGATACGAGTTAACGTTTATTCGCTAATTAATATTATTTTAATATTATTTTAATATTATTTAATATTATTTTAATGTTATTTTAATATTATTTTTTTCTTAGTATTAATAGTATCTTTCTAAGTATTAATAATACTTTTAGGTAGGCGATAAGTCGTTGATAAGAGTACGCGCAAGACTAATCTACGATGCGGAAAACGCGCGAGGCGCGCGAATCAT